AAAAAGGACAAAATCTAAGCTTTAGAAATACATGGATATTTTGCTGATCAATTTTCATCGGTTCGCGGTTTTGTTTGCTAGGTTATTAAAATTTTATGCACAGGTAGCCCAATTGACACAAAGGTCTTTAAATGAAATAAAAAATCTGCAAAAAAAGCTCTAAAAAAGTATTGTCAAGAGCTGGTTGGTTGCTTGGTTTTTGGTTGGTTGGATCTTTTCATTATTTATTCCTATCTTTTACACATGCAATCGATAAAGAAATTGTAAAAATAAAATAGAAATAAAAAAAAGAATGTTAGGTTACTATTTTCTCTTACCCTTACTGCCAGTAACCGTTTCAAGTCCTGCTTCAATGAAAAGAGAAGAAGGAGAAGATGCGGTGTTCATGTTTAATACCAGTACCAGCATCCTAGAAGTGACATGGGGTATACGTGATGCTGACAGTATTAACCTTAAACCACGAATGATAAGAGTTGACATATTATCTGGTGTACATTTAACCTCTAATGCTGATTACGCAGGGAGAGTCAGTTTTGTTGGTAATTTGACAAAGGGTCAGGCTTGGTTCAAGATCACAAACCTGAACATCAATGACACCATGCCAATCAGCACATGACAAAGATCCGGATTTATGGCACTTCGTTCTACAAAATCATTCCTGCACAATTAACAGTCATTAAACCCCCAGGTAAAAATTTCTATCACTACGTGCTATCTCATTCTTCTCCATCGAGCGTATCATCCTTCTATATGCATATCTCAGGTGAGCCATCGTCTCGAGTATAGTCAAGCTAACACCGTGTCCAATCACGAGCAAATGCCCAAATACATAGAGAAAAAGGAGGCTGGAGGAGCCTTTGGTGTCATCACAACAAAACTTTGGAACTCTTTGAAAAATGACATTAAAAATTCAGTGTCATTTAATTCCTTTAGACGTAGGATATCCAAACGATGGCTAAATTATCAAAAAGAATATAGTTATTTCCAACATTTGACTCACAAATCACAAGTAATATAAGACCATAATTTCTTCTCATCAATTGCTACTAGAACTTGTGAATCATCGATAAACAAAGCCACGGCCAATAATTTGAAAGCATACGATTGTCATAGATGTGCTACCACATGATCAGCGTGTAAAGAAGAAAGTCGAGGCAGATCTGAAACAAGGGATCATGAAATAAATATTATTATTATCATTTTAATCAATGTTGGAGATCATTCAACTGATTATACAACATCAGTTTTTCTTGACGATATAAGCCTCTTCTTTTTGCTTTTTATTTTTGCTTTTTATTTTTATATATAAACCGAAAGTTTGTCGTCTTAAGTGGGAGCGTGAAATGAAAAAATGTCATAAGTTGCAGCACGTCACGCAACTTAGTATTCACAGCAGTTTTAACCTTAAGAATAGGTTACACTACAAATGTTAAACACAATTGTAAACACACAGCAGCCAAGCAGACAGACATGAAAATATTTATTTGCTTGCGCGGATGCGGTACACATATTGCCTAATCTGTATTCAAGAGATCAGGTTAACATTCATAGATATATCACAATCGCACAAGATGTATGTCATGTTATTGAGCTGTGTAGCAATGATTCTACAGTTATTTCCGCCTGTTGGTAAGTTCTAGAGAAATACCTTGATTAATGCGAGTGCCGTTTACATTTTAGGTTAGAGTCATTAGGAATTTGTATAGAAGATAATAGTTTATAATATTATGGTATTCATCCAATTAATGGCATATCTTGTATGTCGATCAGATATTACTTACTAAAACAACCAAAAATTAAAGTAACCAAGGTTGAAAGATAAACTGACATTGGAATTGGTGCTGGTCGCACTTCATCGGTCGTTTTGTTTGCTGTTTGAAAACATTTTATGTACAGGAAGCCCAATTGATGTAAACGTAATACAATCGAAGCCAGTACTAAAATGAGACATATATTGAGGCTGTCCATATTAATTGAAGTCAAAATACAAAAGGCATATTTTTTATTTTATTTTAGATTTTACCAATATTTTCTAATATCTGTGTAAGCCAATAATATTAATATCACAACATACTTTTATATTTGTTATTTTTATTACTCCTTTTTCTGGTTATTATTTTAGTTTTTTTTTTTTACAGAATTTCTGTATATCATGATGAAAGAAAATGAAACTCTCCACAATTGGCGCTTGTTGGCTATAAATACGTGTACTTTGTGTTTTCTTTTTGACCTAATACATTTTTGATCATTACTGATTCGAATGAAAGTAAAAATACCATGAAATATTACTCTTCATAATTGCAATGAGATTCTTGATTGTCAGGGAACCAATAATTCATAATAGGTTTTTATATATACTAAAAGCAGTCAAAGATGCTTTACCATAGTTTTCACTGTTGTTGCCATTGTTATTTGTTTATTTGGTTGGTTTGTTAGTTCGCAATATATCTTTTCCCCGCTACCTCGTAGACCTAAAATGATTGATTGAGTGACTGCTGCTGCTGCTGCTTAAATACTGCCTGGCTTTCTAACCGGCACTGAAACAAAAATATAAAAAATAAATAAAGGGGGAAGAAAAGAGTTATTATTTTCTCTTTCCTTTACTACCAGTACCTTTACTATCATCAAGTCCTGCCTCAATTACAAGGGAAGTTGGTGATGACAAGGTGTTGATGTTTAATGCCAGTACAAACATACTAGATGTGTCATGGGGAATACGAGATGGTGACCCTAGTCGTTTTAAACTAGTGCTGATAGCAAAAGACACTTCTTCTGAAAAGTTAACGCCTAATGCTGATTACGCAGGGAGAGTCAGTTTTGTTGGTAATTTGACAAAGGGTCAGGCTTGGTTGAAGATCACAAACCTGAACATCAATGATACCAATCAGTACATGGCACAGATAGTTGCAAGAGGAACACCATCGGGGCAGTATGACTACATATTTATAAAACTGATTGTCACAAAACGAGGTAGTTTATTAGTATGGGCGAAGATTACATTCACCAACATGACAAACATTAAAGATGCTTAATTTCTTCCATTATTTTTATTCATGAACGGTGCACATTGAATCGATGCTTAGCCAGTTGGTTACAGTGCCACTCAATCAATCAATCAATCTATATATCACGATACTCGTACCCCATTTTTCTAGTCATTTAAGTTTTTAGAGTTTGATGTATCTTATTAGTTATATTATTAAGCATCACATTTGAATAAGCCGGACTCTGACGATGCTAGCTTACATGCGACTGACCAGACATTTTATATGCATAACGCTGCTAAGGATTAGTTTCACTTTCTTTATATCTTTAGTACTTATATCCAATCCTGGACCACTGACAAGAGAAGTGGGACAAGACGTGGAGTTCAAGGTTAATAGTACAGCAATGTCAGAAGCCACATGGGGAGTACGACTTGGTGACTCAAATGACCTTAAAATCACTTTTTACCGCGTAGTCAACCCTGGTGGTGCATATCCAGACACCAAGATCAATTCAACCAATTATGCTGGAAGAGTCAGTTTTGTTGGTGATCTGTCAAAGGGTCAGGCTTGGTTCAAGATCACAAACCTGAACATCAACGACACCAATAAGTACATGTCCCTGATCGTCCTAAAGGGAGAATCGAGTTACAGATACATACCAATGCAGCTAACTGTTATAATACAACGTTTGTATTCATTTACTTCAATCATGTCTACATTTTCAATTTTCCTTTGTCTTTTCTTTCTTTGTTTTACCTTAAAGTTATTTTTTTACCATTATAATAATTTCAGTGCCTACTACGAGACCTATTCAGGCTTCATCGACGCCGCCTCTCCAGACCACAAGCACACCAAGTAACATAACGTCAACCACAATCTCTCGTGAGTAATGGAAAAGACTGCATGCAATAATAGCGATAGGGTCTTCTGTACTTTTATTCCTTGATACCTTAGAAATAATACTTGTAATTCGAATTCTCCATTAATTTTAATATCATTAAGTTCCTAAAATGAACGCTTTGTTCTACTTATTTTTCTGAAGGCAAAATAACAGTATTTTTTCTGTCCTCCACTTACATTAAAAGAACATAATGTCTTGCTTCAGTACACAGCACCAGTACTCCCGAGAATCAATCACAGCCTGGTGACACATGTAAGTTACCTGTAGCAATGGCATTGAACGTTGTTTATCAGTTTTTTTATATATATTATCAAATTATAAGATAATTACTATTATAATATAATTACTACTAACAGTAAATATGCCTAGTATTAATCATTTTTCGTAGGTACGTCAATCATCGCAACAKGTGTCACTGTCATCGTTATCCTTGTGGTGGTCATCGTGGTCTTAGTCATCTATATTTGGAAAGTAGTGATAAATTATGCGTTCGGTGTGTATACAATGAAGTAGAGAGAATAAGAGAAAAATATCAATGCCCTAGGCAGGATTCGAACCCACGTCTTCGGTATTGATATTCGGTATTAGGGCATTGATATTTTTCTCTTATTCTCTCTAATATATTTGGAAAAGAAAATGTAAAAATGGAAACTAAACAAATCCTTTATTATCGACACTGATTTACAATTAAACCTTCTCAAAAACATCAAATTGTTCAATTTGAGGTAAWCACAAAGACTAAGACTTTCTTTAAAAATTTTTATTTCCTAGAAAAATCAGCAAGAAAAAGGTATTGTTTTTCATTGCTACTATTCAATAGAATATAGTTCTGTAGTTCTATAGTGTTTTATTCATACTCTATTTTGGATTATTTCTCAATGTAGAAGTTTGTCAAGTATTAAAGGGGAGGACCTTGGAGCTTACGAGGTAAACATACTGTCAAGTGAATGTATAACGTAACTAGGAAGAGCTTTGCATAAAACAAAATGTACAATACTCTAAATCTGTCAAACAACACGACATATTGTTCCCTTACATATTTATATACTAGTATCACCATGACTTCCTCTAGTGTATATAAAATCAATAATTTATTTGTTGTAATATAATACCAGCAGGTGTAGAACTGGAAAACACGTCTATCGTTAGGGGCCAATTTTGAAATTTTAAAATCCATTAAATAGTTTTTATAAGATTGTACTCTAGCTACCCTTTTTGCAGCCATGTCTTACTGAAACAATGAATCGTTTTACTATCGTGGGATCTAATAAGTTGCATGGTTTTTGAGCGAGATATGAGTTTGTTTGTAGCATCTGAGACTTAAATATGTGGGGATTTTACTTTTTACTTCTTTTTTTCTAATTTAGAATGCTAAGCCGATGGATGGCGCCTTAAATGTACGAGTCCATGAGTCAGCCAAGGCAAGATTTACCGATAAAGAACTTTATGAAACAATATGTGAAAACAGAGATAAAGACACCAGCACTCGCCTCGCGTCCACTCATCCTGGTTTTGGTGCTTTGGCTGTAAATGAGATGACTAGACGTGATTCCACAGCCAGTGCACGTGGTCAAGACCCCTTGCCTTCATTACCACCACAGCTTTATCAAGACCTTACAAATCTACCCAAGGAACAACAGATGCCATTATACGAGCCTCTTAATAAAGGCAACACTAAGTATAGTACTGATGCGACTGATAATCCAAAAACATACGAACAACTGCAGCAGAATGTGGTAGGAAGAGAGTATCAGTCGTTGCAAATCACTCCAAACAAAGAAGAAAGCAAAGTGTGATATTTTTTGAGTTTAATCGCGAGTCAAAACAGAGTATTAAAGAGTAACTCTTCAATATTGGCAATTCAATTGTTTTCCTATAACAAGCTATGCACCTTTTTTCTTTGACGAAAAAATGAAGAGATTGAAGGTCCAAATACTAGACCATCAATCCTTCAGTCAAATATCTTGATAGTAAAGAATCGAGCAATGATGTATAAATTAGCAACTTAGCTTCATTCCAAATAAAGACAACAACAACATATAATGCTTGAACTCCTTTACTTTACTTGTGCTTTGGCTAAATAACCCCCAAGTCACACGATCGACTTACAATTACACTCATTAGCACTGTTGATAGCATTTAAATTCATCATTTGAGAATTAATAAGCAGTTCTTCGTTTCTCGTGGCCTAATTACGTTGGTATGTAACCCCTCCCCCCTCCCCCTACTTTTTTCCGCGCTATCTAGATTTTATTGTAAGACCAGAATTTTAATAACAACCACCATTCGTCGAGACTATTGAGGTGCAGTTTTTCAAACTAAATTTACCGTGGTTTTGAGGGATATATGATTCTTTTTTTTAAATGTTTAATTAACGCATGCTTTTCGTTCCTTTGAAAATTACTCAGACCGCAATATGACTTATGCTTTTTCTGAGATCGGTAATTACCAAGGTCAGAGATAGCAACTTGACAGCACAGTGACTTGGAACTATCGGGAATATAAGTTCTTGTTTCTTTAATCTTGTTTCTTTATATCAGTTTAAAATTTTGTCTTATTTTTCATCAATGTTGGGAATCATGCAACTGATTGGATGACACTCATCCATTGATTTTATTCTCCTCTTAATGCTTATCTTTTTTATCCCAACTGCAAATACACAGGGTAAAAATGCAAAGGGATTATTCAGGTCTTCGGTAGCAGCGTGACGTGATTGTCACTTTGGCTGACGTCATCCAACTTAGCATCTACATCATTTTTAACCTTTAGAAAAGGTTACACCACAAATATTAAACACACAGCAGCCAAAAGCAGACGGACGTCAATATATTTATTTTTTCAATAACGTTCATATAACGACTGAGATTTGTATGCGTTAACCTTCGTTTAGTTAATCGCTAACGTAAAATGTATGTCATTTTAATGATCTTTGCAGCACTGATTCTACAGTTACTTCCGTCTGTAGGTAAGTTTAAGAAAAATGTCTTGATTTAGTGTGGTTTATATTTTGATTTAAGTTCATTAAAGAAGATAATTGTTAGGTATTAATATTGTATACAATATATACTTAATGGCAGTGGTTCGGTTTGTCTAATCAAATCTTACAATACGTAAATACATCAAAAAGGACAAAATCTAAGCTTTAGAAATACATGGATATTTTGCTGATCAATTTTCATCAGTTGCTTTGTTTGTTGTTTAATAATAACTTTTTATGCACAGGGAGCCCATTTGATACGAATTGAATGTAGTCTAGAGAAATAAAATAAAACATGCAAGAAAAATTCTAATTGACTTTTTTTTTTATTCTTCAAAGAGTTTGAAATTATGTGTTATTATATAGTTCAATAAGACCACCTTTTTGACTGATTTGTTCATGATTTAATGGAGTTTTGTATCATAATACAGTTGTAGAAAAGTACTGTACTTAATATAATATTTTTGATTGTAACGGAAATCAGTAATACTTCATACTAATTCAGGCAGTTAGCAATACTTCACCACATTTGTATTCTAGCTTGCTGTCATTGTTTTGATTGATGTGTGCCTGTGTGCCTGTGTGCCTGTGTGCCTGTGTGCCTGTGTGCCTGTGTGCC